TAAAAAAGAAGGTGAAGTCAAATCTTCATTCATTCACCGTATGATATTCCACTCTGTGTTCAAATTCTCTATTCTGTCCTGAGTACATGGCAGCCGCATTTCTGGTAATGCCTCACTCCACTCAACTGTCAGTGTTTTATAGGACAGGAATCTGTAAATGTTATGTAGAGGTTAAGTAGAATCTAGATTCTATATTTTCCAAAAAGAACGAGGAGTACTTATGGCACCTTAGAGACTAACAAATGTATTTGGGCATAAGCTTTCGTGAGCTAAAACCCACTTTATCGGATATATGCAGTGGAAAATACAGTAGGAAGATATATATACACACAGAACGTGAAAAAATGGGTGTTGCCATACCAACTATAATGAGACTAATCTATTAAGGTGCATTCAGCAGCCATATATGCAAATGTTTTGAATGTGGTGAGACAGTTCTTCACTTTTTCAACTGTTGAGTCTTTCACTGTTGCACCACATGCTTCTAGCCAGTCAGTTGAGTTTCTTGCAGAAAGACAGTGAGCATTTGCTGGTCTTGTTCAGAACCAGTGTTCAACTTCAGGATGAACAAGTGACAATGCACTTAACATTTGCCTCTAGTTTGTAGTGTTTGGTATCTCTTGCTTAAATAGAAAGTCTGATGCTACAGCCATGTTTGTTCGCATGAACTGTGTTGTGTCTCCAGCATTCTTAACAGCCTTGTTAATACTCACCGGTGTTGTCCTTGGTCAGTGGAGACTCAGAGTTCAGAAGTGCTTTCACATGAGTTCACCTCCCGGGGAGGAGGGGCAAGAAGGCACCTTGCTCATTCCTCCAGCTGCTCACTGTTCGCTCTGGCCACTGTTGTTCATTATGCCACCGTTCACTTCTTTGCTCTGTTGCTATGGCCCTGTGCCGTCACCTTCTGCTGCCACCTGCCACTGTGACCTCTGCGAGTTGGTCTCTTGAGGTTCCACCCAGCTCTCAGTGATTTCAGCTGAGCTCTCAGTGCGGGAACCTCGCTGCTAGTGCAGACTGGGCTGTCTCTTCCACAGAAACACTGTCCCACAGCAGGTTTAAGCACTTAGACCTGATTATCAGTGATTTCAGCAGTAGTGATCACTTAACAAAACAAAAGACTATCCATGGAGCCTAATCAGCCCTGTCTTTAAACAGTGGAGAGGGACAGGCCAAATAGTACTTGTGACTCAGGCAGACCATCAAGCAAAACTCCTGTCCCCACCCTCTCTCTTGATGCCCTCAATCTGCATAGGCTAAGTACAGTTCTACTGCCCTTTACTCATACAATAAGAATAGCAACATTTCATTCCCCCCCACACACACACACATTCAAGTGATTTTTAATCCAACCCCAGCCAAAGTCTATCACTTGGGCAACACCGCTCTGTTTGCTGGATACCTAGATATAGTAGGTGTGACTGTAAATACAATCTGGTCCTGCAGCCTTTCCCCCAAGCTCATCACTAGTTGTCAGGGAAAGCTCATTTAGAATTTGCTTACAAATCATAACTTGAAATTATTAAATTGGCCAACATCACCAAAATGAACGCACTATGACATCATCATAAAAAACAACATCTGTATAAGGAAGCTAGTCTATGTTCATACTTTTCAATCAATTATACTTTCATGTATTTTATCATACACTTTATATGCTTTAAAAGTGTGTATTAATGTTTCAATTTCAATTCAAATTTCCAAACAATCACTAAATTGGCAACACTGTATGTAACTAGTTCACAAAACTGGGGGAGGGTGTTGGGGAAATTCAGGGGGGTGTACCCACTGGTTTCAGGTGGGTTTGTATTCAGCAGAGCTAAGCTGTGCCTCTGCTGCTGCTGCCCCTACTACCATGGCTACACTAACCGATGCATACACCATACGTGCATGAAAGCAGGGGAATAATCATGTCTAGCTTGTAGTGCAGACGTAACTTAAAAGGTACCTAGTTTGTGTTAACATAGGAATGAAAGAGGACTATGTTAACACAAACTACGTACCTTTTAGAGCACGCCAGCAGGGTCTCTACAGTGCAGTTAGAGCACAACATGTTAGGATGCTTTATAAATCACACCCCCATAGAGCACTTTGCCGTGCTGTGTATACAAGCCCTCAGAAATCACTCTCCAAAGATGAAGGAAATGCTTCAATGCTAGTTCATATAGTGTAGCTTCCAGATTAGCTTTCTACTTGAGGTAACACAGGAGGATTATTCCATGGGCGTATTTCCAAAAAGTAACAGTTCACTGAAACTGCCTGATACATAAAAATAAATGTCAGTAACTATTTAATTTCTAAAATTTAATATACAAAATGGAAAAAAAATTGGAACAAAGCTTTAGCTGATGTCAACTGGCATAACTCCACTGACTTCACTGGTGCTATGTCTTATGTAAAACAACAGAAGGGCTGACTCCTGGCTTTTTATCTAGATATGTTTATTTCCTTTTGTTTCCTTTCCAGCTATATTTACCTTTATTCTAGTGTTCATCATTTGGACCCTTTATCATTACTCAGACTGCCCATGTCAGAATTCTCTAACGCTAAGGAATATTTAAATAAGTACACACTTTTCCCCTCCCATTAGAAAATACATTGAATTCTCATCTCCATCTGCACTTAGTGGAATTCTTTCATCTTATCTGGGATTTTCTGGAAGGGTCAGTCTCTCCTTTCTGTGAAGCATCAGGGACTGGCCTCATATAGGAGAGGCATATTGGACCAGTGATCTGATCCAATATTGCAAATTCTTTATTCTGAACTGCATTTGACAGATCTCATTTAAGAGCCGTCTATGAAGTTACCAGGACTTCACATGCTCAACAGTGAAACTTTATAACTATGAGACTGTCTAAATGGCAGTTTTAAAGAGATATGATTTGTATTGTATGACTTTGCATATACAATAAAATGCCTCTAAAATCCATATATATGAAAGAAGTGAACCTTTTTAAAAGAACACACACATACACTGTACTTCTTTCATTGTGTTTAGCTAATTGGAAATATGGATCTACTTACGCCAACGGAGATTCACTGTGAGTCATATGGTCAAAACCCAACAAAAGGCATTGTGCGGGATCCATCATTATGGAGCATTGGGATGTGCACAACAAAGTAATGTTAGTATCAGAAATTAGTGAAGAAAAGGATTGAATAAAGAGAAAAGAAAAGAAATGATCAATAAAAGGGAGCACAAAGAGATACATAAAAATGTTAGCACTTTGAATAAGCTCACTGGTTATCCCCTCAATATCAACTATGTTAAAGGTACAGCACACATTTCTCCTTCCCATACCCATGAAAAGATTAAAAGTTTTCTATTGCAGATAGAATAGAACGTCTAACAAGAGAAATATGGGGTCACGTGCATCCCAGGTCTAACTCCAATAAAGGCAGTGGAGTTACACCATAGATGAATTTGTTTGATAATATTTAAAGAATCCCACAAGGGAATCAAATAATCCGTCAAGACCAAAGACCCAATCCTGCAACCTACGTGGGCAGGCACCTGCACCATACAAATCTCCATTGACTTTAATGGTAAACCGCACAGGCATATGGTTTAGGCCCTTAATTTGTTCTGGTTTGCACCATGCATCCTCTCTCCCTAACCCCTTCCTTCCATATTAACAGTTGTCACAAAAGTCCTGCTGTATTTGGAAAAAAAACAGGCCTTGATTTGCCTCCCACTTAATGGATTTATACCAGTGTGAAGTCAGGTTAACTACAGTTGGGTTACTCTTCATTTACTCCAGTTTGAGAGAGAAATGAGAAGGTTACAGATGAAAAAAGGTTTATTAAGGGTTTATAAGTATACCATTTAAAAGGCGTATATTTCTTCCAATAAATCAGCATGTTTCTTTTGGGGCTCTGATGGTTGTTGTATAAATATTTGCTTAGATAAATCTGAAAATGCATATTGACAAGCGTAATACAAGTTCTTAAGGAAAGTAATTACAGCGTATATTAGGCTGTACCTTGCCAGGGCCGGCTCCAGCTTTTCTGCCGCCCCAAGCAACCAAAAAAAAAAAAAAAAAGACCAGCGGCAGCACTTCGGCGGCAGCTCAACCGCACCGCTTCTTCTGCGGCAGTTCGGCGGCGGGTCCTCCCTCACTTCCTCTTCGGTGGCAATTCGGCGGCAGCTCAAAGAGGAAGAGAGGGAATGAGGGACCCGCCGCCGAATTTCCACCGAAGACCCGGACGTGCCGCCCCGATACCAGACGGAGTGCGGCCCCTCTGAATTGGCTGCCCCAAGCACCTGCTTGCTAAGCTGGTGCCTGGAGCCGGCCCTGTACCTTGCAGTCCTTGCTGAGGCATGACTTGAAACTGCATGAATGAGGACTGCAGGATCAGGCCCATGGAGAATATGCTTTAGGAGTTTTTTTCACAATATCAGAGTGAATTACATGTCCATTATATTAAAGACCAAGAGCTTGTCAACTGACTATTAGTAATTTCCAGCCGGTTTTGAGTCATGGCTACAAACAACATTTTCCCTAACAATGGCAAAGGAGGTTTATTAAAAAAAATTAGCTCATTCTGGAATTCAATTTTTTTCCAGGACAAATCTAAGAAGTTATTTTCTTTTAACTTATTTTGAGTTTGGTCTGAAATAAGAACAATTTTCAGGAAAAAATTGCATTTCCCTCGTAGGATAATATAGAATTCTGAGGTTGATAGAAACATAAATTAGACGAAAACAGAATTATTAAGTGCTATTGACAGAGCTAAGGATTCCGAAACAGCATCCAGGGTCCTTGATTACACCATATTTAATCTAGTTGTGTAACATTTTTATATAACATACATGCATTTTAGGCCCCTCATATTGGATTAAATTTCAGTCTTTTTAGAGAGGCTGTTTATATATTTCCTTTACTGGTTGTCACACACCATCATGAACCTTCTCGTTGCTGAAAAGCAGTTATACTGTGCAGCACTGCAAAAGTGAAAAGTATGTATTTGGATCAACAGAGTATCTTGTCTGTCTTCACCACTTTCTTTACACACAAACCTCTATCTGTCTGCTCAAGACAACATAAGAGAGGGGTCATAATCACCCCACTCTGGTTTAAATCAGCAGTTGGGAGAAATTATTAATTTTTAGTAATGCATACAGTATTGTGGAAACATCATTTTTAGCTTAAATATCTTCTCAACTGTGAAATATGCAAACTCCTGTTTATCTTAAGTTAGAGGTTTCAATTAAACAGCAGTCGTTAAATATAAATCCCAAAGCAGGATAACATAACATTGGGCTTCATTCTGAAAAACATCAAACAATAACCAGTAATAAAAATGCATCTTACATTCTTTTTATACAAATGAGAAATACTCCTCCATTTTCCTTGCCTGTTGTGCTATGTAATCAATGCAGTTATCAGACTGAAACTATGGTTGTTATAATAGGCATTATTAAGACAATAACTATCCATATTTCCAACTCCACAAACCTTTTCTACAGGTGAAACCTACAAAGTTGCTCTTTATTAACATTCTGATAGCAATATTCTACTTGAGTAACCTTAGCCCTTATGCTTTAGCAGCAACCTGTTTCTCTGAGCTTGATGATGGATATAAAAAAAAATTAAACAAAACCGATGATCTGCTGTCACTTATACCAATGTAAAACCAGGAGAACTTTGCTGAAGTCAGTGGAATTACTCTGGATTTACACCCAAGTAGTTGAGAGCAATATTCAAACCACAGAGATTAATTTAACAGTTTGCACATCAACTTAAAAAAAGTGCTGCCAATTTCCTTACTAATAATATTTTTACTCTCCATTTTTGTAATACCATCGTAGAGGCTTAAAAAAATTTCTTTCCCTATCAAGTTTGCATACTTTCCAGTTTCTCAATGCTGAAAAGTACAGTATATTTAGTTCCCATTCCATGTGTGGAACCCACAACCATATCAGAGGGAAATGAATGGACAGGCTAAGAGCAAGATACGCCCCCAGTAATTTCTAACTATTTTTTCATAGGTCAAATCTGGGGCTTACCTTACCTGACAAAGCATCTCTCACCAAGGGTAACCATGGAACAGATTGAGAGAGTCAAAATAACTTTCCTTTTTTGCTTCAAATACCATATATAAAATGGCCTGATTCCACCACCATTACTCTCACTGAACTGTGCCTAAGGCCAGGTCTACACTAACCCCCTAATTCGAACTAAGGTACGGAACTTCAGCTACGTGAATAACATAGCTGAAGTCGAAGTACCTTAGTTCGAACTTACCTTGGTCCACACTCGGCA